TCTCTCTCTTTCTCTTTCTCTTTCTCTCTCTTTCTCTCTCTCTCTCTCCTTTTTTTGTAAGTTTTTTAATGTAAAATACAACTGAAGAAACCTGAAGTCCTGTTTTCTGTTTACCACAATCATCTATTTCATAGGAAAACACGTTCCCACCTCACCCGTATCCTGAATCATTCGTTAACAAACAGTTCCATTCCTTAGTACACTTCTGTTTCATTGTTCTTGGCAGACCTAACTAATAAAGCGACATTATGAAACTTATATAAATCAAGCAAAGAGATTTCTATGAACTACTTTCCCTCCCATTCATGAATGTAATAACTATCTACATTTCTAATTTTTACTGTGCACTATAAGACTAGTTTCTAATTTATGGGTTCAATACTCTCAAAATAATTAGAGAAGATATCCACCAATATCAGATTCTTATGCCTTCAGGCACGGCGCAACATCGTAAACCTTAGAAGGGATTATTAGGAACATATTTACGAGATATACTGTTTGTTGTCATTGATGAGTACACTTGTCATTTTACAGTTTTATAGCCTTTTTTTATCCTCTTTTCAGATTTACTCCAAGACAAATGGTTAAATAATGGATTACATTGAGCGAAAATGGATAAGTGCTATATTCGCACCTGTTGTAAAACTTGTAGACCATCGTTGGCAAGTAAATAAATAATGAAAAATTTTAATTTCTAATTGTTAGAATATGAAAAGCGACATTATGAGCCAAACTTTTTGTAAAAGAAAATACTAGTTTATTGTTTATAATCATTAAGCTGAGGATTTTTGCCTATTTGCCTATTTTTTCCTTCAATGGAATACGCAATCTTTTGGGTTACTTATTCATTTTGAGGTATTATTAGTATGTTATGAGACACTTATAGTGCCTATAAATGCCTATTTTATTTTTAAATGCCTAAATGCTGCATGTCCTCATATTTATTGATCAAAAAACAATTATTCTATATAAAAAATGAATCTTCTTCGTATTTATCCTGTAGAGTACAGAATAAATACAACCACTAGTTACATTTGTGTTTTGTATTACCTTTGAAATAAATCACAATATTTTCAATTAGATCTAAATGAAATCTGAGAAAATTGATAATACTGTTCAGCATTAGGATATCAGCTTGCATTTCACGAAAGGCCAAAGGTAGCTACTGCAATTCAGCCTCTTTTTGTCCGAATTGCCCAACAATGAAAGATTTCTAGGAGGATTGCCAGAACAATAACGAAAGCAAATATTTCATGAAGGTTACTATATTATGTTTACTACAGAAACTTTCTACACAAGCACGCAAATAAGGATAAGAAAACTGTATAGTGCCTTTTTAAATGTCTATTTTTTACACTTAAATACCTATTTTACATTTTAAATGCCTATTTTGCCGGCCTATTTCTACAGTTTTGCGTGCATGTAAATCCGCAGCTTAATAAGCATACTCTTTTGACGAAATTTTTCATTATGTATTTACTCTTTAATATATTAATTATCTCTAAATCGATTTTCCGCGGCATTACATAACTTTCTCTTAAACTATATAGTATACTCCACATATACGTATTACTTACGTATACAAGAACATTTACATACAATTATGTTTTAATTTCGTTAAGTTTTATTTAATGTTTATCATTACACAGATCACCCGATTAAAATTCCAGAGGATTGAAGCGTCGTAAAAATAAAATGAGTGTTGAATTTAATTAGTATTGAATATATTAAACAAACTTATTACTTTTTTCTAAAGTTCACGCATTCATTTTTTCTAACTCGATTTTTAATTCGCCAATGGTAGTCTTTTCCCTAATGCATTGTTAGTGATGGATGAATTCTGAAGTTTCGCCTCACGAGAAGTGTCTGAAAATCATCCAGGATGACACTATATTTACGAGGACATTCTCTGGTAAGCTTATTTTCACATTACTATATTTCCTCAAATATTTGTAATCTATGGCTTTCATATATTTACGTTCACATCTTGATCAAGTAAGACCTTTCTCTTCACTTGAACGGGAAACTGATGTTAGGGAAGATGCGAAGAATTATTCATTTGTTTTGTCTGAATTTCATTATTCTTGCAGAATTTTAATGCATTGAATGAATCGTTTTTCTGTTCCAAGCACTGAAAAAATGCAGATAGCACGTTTCTCTCATTGTTTCTAAGATGTGTTTTCGAACACTGATCGGGTTGTCATATTATAGAGAGATGAAACAGAGAATTCAAATACAAAGATCGTAAGCATAAACATTTCACTAATGGCATACACAACGTGTATTTTGAAACTTTAAAATACGTTCTCGAATGAAATTTAAGAGTTTTCTTGAAATTTTTTAAACAATTACTAGTTTTTTTTCATGAAATTTAAGGTGGGATAATTTTATGTCCCTATTCACTAAATTATAAACTAGGCATTTGTGATGGGGTATATGGGATAAAGAAATTCTGTGTAGTCCTTGTGCCAGTCATTACGAAACCAATTACTTTCATAATTTATTTTTATTGTGCATCATAGAAATACGCATCTAGGAAGTTTAATAGTTTTATATTCTCACGCTCTAGGGTGAACTGTACGGCGGAATCAAATGAATTAAACGTATTATTTAAGAAAGATTCAATATTGTTTTTATGTAAAATCATCAACATACAGTTTTATATCTGGAAGGACAATTTCATGTTTTCTCATGACCAATTCCGCAAAAAACAAACCGAGGTAGCCGCTAATGCAAGTAATATTTGTTTACCTCTTCATTTTTTAATATATTAAATAAATGGCATATAATAACTTATTTCGCCCTCCGGAATTTGAAAATAATCCAGACATTGGAGATTCTCATGTAAGACATTTATTATGCGGAAGTGTGGTAGTAAATAAGGGATTATCCAAATAAAATCCAATGAAATAACATCAAAACTTGGTTTAGTAAGGGTGTTAAGCAATGAAACCAAGTTAAAACTTTTACGAATAATATTATTTTCATTAACTTTAACAAGGGCGGATCCAGAGACAATTTTGTTTAGGAGTAATTGAATTTGTATGTCTATATATACATAAACACAAAGATAATATAAATTATAAACTCTGTAAATTATTTTTCATAATATGCTTTTAACTAAACTAAAATATTAGATTTTATATTTAATGAATACTAATGGTTTTAAATGTAAACATGTGGTGCTACAAAATGGCACAGACTTTCCCGTACTACTTAGTTTCCTATTTTTGGCCGGGTCTAGCTTTTCGGTCTTGCCTCATCCTCTTCCCAGCTGCCATCTACTGCCGCCCAAATATATTTTTTTTTCATATTTGCTCATTTTTTTGTTTCTTAATGGCAGAAATAAAAAGTTACTTTAAGAATATAATAGAAAAGTAAAACCTCGTCCTACATGCAAATTTTCGTTGAAAAATTTGGAGCCGTATTTACGAAAATGACGTTTAAGCATTACCTTAAATGCAAACTTTAAAACTCCTTTTTCACAGAAAACAATTGAGTTTTCGAAAACATTTATTGAAAGTTATTTGAAACGCTTCTACTCAATACCAATACCTCTACTCAATTGCAATAATGTATACAAATAGCTGGAAATGAGCGCATTAAAGGCATGACAAATATTTAAAAGAAATACATTTGTACTTTTTTCAAAAAACATAGTATTCAGCAAAATTACTTTATTGGGAAATTCACGTTTGGGGTCCTCTGATACTGAAAAAGTTTTTTTCGAAACTTCCGTCTGTCCGCCCGTCCGTCTGTCTGGTGTATGTGAACAACACTAGCGCCTAAACCATGCAAAGAATTTTTTCCAAATTCAAGAAACCCCTGTCCATTTACTTGAGTCGAAATTTTGAAAAACATTCTTCAAAATTTTGGGGTACTTTACATAAAGTCATTCGAACATTTTCAAAATATTCTCAAAAATGGCTCCAATTTTTTCTTCTGAATATGAAGTTTTTCTGAAACTCAATAGTTTTCTGCGAAAAGTTCAAATTTGCATTTATAGTTAGCGCTTAAACACGAGTTTTTAAAAAAAAGGCTCCAAATTTTTCAAAGGAAATTGTCATTTAGAACGAGGTTTTGCTGTTCTTTAATATTCCTAAAATAATATTTCCGTTTTATCATTAGTAAACCGTAAAATTAAGAAAATGTCAAAAAATGTACTTTAGGTGGCGATATATGGCAGCTGGCAAGAGTATGTGACTAGTCCGAGTAGCTAGCCAAGACCAAAGAAATAGAAAACTAATAGGGGAAAGTCTGTGCCATTATAAAGTACCACTAGTTTTACTTGTAATTTGTTAGCGCTGAATATTTTTTAACATACTACTTTTAGCATCATCCAGGAACAACGATGCGGACGTAGTAATTTTCTGTTCCCTTCGGGGTGCTTCTTTTAGGTGAGTCACCTCGCCTCCCACCATCAGAGTGATGAGAAGATTTTAAATAAAACTTTCACTAAGTAACCACGAATAAAATAACCCTACCTGTCGTATCTAATTATTTAATGAACTAAATGGGGTCTCGTTTGAGATTTGAAAATTAATCCCCATCCCTATACCTGGGAGCTTATCTGTTATCATTATATAGATTTTTTAAAATTATTGAACAGGCGTTTCTTTATTTTTCAATTCAAAGTGTAGTTTCTCTATAATTGCAAAAATCATACTTTTGAGATTTCGGCGGATTCGTAACGTAAGACGAGAAAGTACTGTAATCGTGCCCCGGAAAACGACGAATTTTCCACCCAAAAAGTCTAATTGCTGGGCCCTGGTAAGGAAAAAGTGGATAAATTCAGTTGCTAAATATAGAAAAAATTCCTCCAACACGTGGTGTAGCCAGAATTCATGTTTTGTGAATCCTTAATACCGAAAAATCGATTGACGCAATGTCCGGGTGTGCACAACTCTAGCACAAACCAGTTCAGCCGATTTTCTCCAGAATTGATATTCCCCAATCGTTCTGGCTGATGTCGCGGCCCCTAGATTTTGAAATCGACATTTAATTTTTTTTGGGGGGGGGGACTTTACATGAAGCCCCTGGGACATTTTCAAAAGTTTCAAAAAAACGGCTCCAAATGGCAACAAATTTTTTGATGAAATGCTGTTGAATAGTGATAAGGACGGTATAGAGACATTTTTTAAGAGAATGGTGCAGGTATCTTTTGTGTTGATTTTTCGAAAATTGAAAAAAAATTAAAGCTTCATAATTGGAGATAAATATTTTTGTCTCAGACAAAGTCTGTTGTACAAAATTAGTTCTTTAAAAATGGTCGTGTACATTTTGTGAAAAAAGGAGTAGTTTTTGCTTTATTTGCGAAAAATGTTCGAAATTTTTTCTCAAAAACCTCTAAATTTTTTTATTTTAATTTTCTTCACTTATGTAATAAGGATAAGGTAATATAGCGCTAGTCTCATTTTCGGAAAATTGAAAACTACAAAATTGAAGATAAAGATTTTTGCTTCAGACAAAGTCGATTTTAAAAAATAAGCTCTTCAAAAAAGGTCAGCTACAGTTTGTTTTTTTTAATGTACTTTTTGCGCTATTTCTGGTTGAAATTAATGAAATACATACAGGTTCCACAATATAGA